TTTTTAGAACATATTTTGTTGGACTTGCACTTCCGCGACAGACCCAGAAGGATTACCTGGCCTGCGAGTGTGCAAAGATTACAACTGTTTGCAGGTTTGCTCTGTCACGCACAAAGACACCAAGGATTTATTACCTATGTTCTTTACTTCATGGCAGTTTGCTACTACCAAGGTGAGTATAGTTACGATTGGCAAAACAAGTATAACTATGCTACAGGTTACTACAGATGACTACCAGAAAGCAAACACAGAGCAGCGGCAATATTAGCAGCAAGTCTCTATTTCAATATTACAAATTACTGCAGAATTACCACTAGTAAAGCAGCAAATATAAGAAATTACTTACACGCAAGCCTTTATGTGTGTATGCGTGTGTGTATATATATATTCAAAAATGTTACCGGTACCAAGCGCTCATCAAACCCATCCCAGAAGCGGAGCCAGTCGACAATGGATGAAGTCTCACTTGGATGATGATCTGCAACACGGAGCCCGGAGTCAGCCTGGTGTCCCCAGCGAGGATCCGCTCTGCCAAGAAAATCTCACGGGCAACAGGGGTTCATGTGCGGGAAAGAGGCTCCATTCTCAGTAAAAAGTCAGTCCTTTTTATACCACAGAGACATAAAGGGGCGTAGGACACCACCACCCAGAATAGCCAATAGATGCTGCTAATTTCTATTTTTCACCTGGCACAGCCAATAACTGATGATGTTTTCTATTCTCTCAGGCCAATTTTTGTTTTATCAGACTGTTTTTCTCTTCTGTGACTTTGAACAGCCAATAGCAGCTACCAACTCCTAGGTCCTCAGGATGTTTTCTCCCTTTTCCAGGTTTTTTTTTCACTTTCCTAGGTGATAAGTTGCTGTTACAGTTCCTTGTTTTTGCGCTTTGCATCAATGGTATCTCAGGGTATCTCTGGTTTCTTGGTATCCAGCTGCACTTCAAAGATGCCAGCTGCACTCCTCAAGGATGCTTCTGGTTCCCAGGCCCGGTTCCCAGGCTGGCAGGCATTTTATCTGCCAGTATTTGAGCAGAGGTCATCTTCTGTTCAATATTTCCCCCCTTATAACCAGGTCACCTTTATGGCTGCTCCCATCATCAGCCTAAAACAATGCCTCTCAGCAAAGCAGAAATGGTCAGCTGCAGGGAACACCACGGAATTTCCCCATCTAAACAGTCCTATTTGTGAAAATGTCTTTTGTATAGCTACTATTAGTTGTTCAGGAACAGATCAAAAGTGCCGGCAGTGGCTTAGCTTCTCCTGCGATACCTGTTTGGGCTAAACACAACCTATGAAGTACTATCACACTTCTGCTCAGGAGATCATGCTCTAGGCAAGAAATTTTGCAGTTACAGCCCTGCTTGGGCATCCTCCTCTTCTCCCTGCTGGCCAGCCTCCACCTACAGCCCTGCAATTTCGCAGCCTGACTGCGGGTAGCATCAACTTAGGAGAAAAAGCTCAGAGGAGGACAGGAGTCATGCAGAAAGAGAGAACCAAGACTGAGGACAAAGTAAACGCAGACATGCAGGCAGGGTCCCTGCCCCCAGCCTGCAAACGCCTGCCAGAAGGGCTAGTGGAAAACTTGATGCTGGAGCAGGCACCAGGCTTGAGTTTTAATTTGCTGCAGCATTCAGACATGAAGCTGTACTCGTCACTGTGGCACAGCCTGACCAAGAACCAGCAGAGTGATTACAAACAAACAAAACATCCAGCCTGTCTAGCCCGCTGTCCAGTTAAAAGTTTTCCAAAACAGACCATTCCCTGAGTCAGTGACCTCCAAAACTTCCTCCGGGTGTTTCACATTCCTTTGGTCCTGTTCCCTAAATGCAATGTTTGTGTCGCTTGCTAAAAAAATCCGCAGCACCAGGCTTTCCAAGTAAATTTAAACGGATTTTGTTTTTCAGTGATTCAGTTATTTTTTCTGGGATTAAGTCTTAAATAAATTTCCACAGAATAGGCTATGGAAACAATAATATGACCTGCCAATTATTGGTTAATAAACCAATTCTGATACTGTGATGTACAAATCATACTTTTAAGGACAAAAATTTTAACTCGGATGGTTTTCATTCAGTGCTGGATTTATCAAGATTTTGCAAGGATTTTAAGTCCAAGGCAAGCACTGTACTTTTGCAGTTACATTGATTAAAGTGCCCAGCCTTGCTTCTCCTGACACGGAGCTCCTCGTGTTAAACCTCAGAGAGAGAGACTGAACTTTACATACAAATATCAAAAGCTACATCATAATTCCTTAATGGTTCCAGCTTGTGCCGGTCTCACACAGTCCCTGCTGTGACTTGCTCAAAAATAGCAGCAAGTCAGCCCTTTTTCTGCTGCAAGCACTAACAATGCTTGATTACAGTCTCGTTTCACTATGAAAAGTATGGTAGCCTTTCGTTGTTATAAACCATACACCAGAGTGGATTAAGATTCAAAATTTCATTATAAATGCCTACTTGCCAGATAATATAAATCATGTGATAATCCAGAAATTTAAGTATAGCCTTACGCCTCTACCCCAGACTCGATCAGATCAGAGAATGAACTGCAAGACTTTCAGATTCATATATTATGATGCAAATGAGTTTTGTAAATTGTGACCTAGTTCCCATGTTAGGAACAGTTGGGACCAACAGCAGGAACTATGCAATGAATGTGAGCAGCAGGGGCAAGCAAGGAAATTAACATTTGTTCTTAATTTGAAATGGATTTTTAATCACTTCCAGGTGCCTCAAAGAAAGTGCACACACTTGCTTACTATAATCATTCAGACAGAAGAATGCATATAGGAGGTAACATGTTTTTGTTTTACTAATTGAAATGTTTGCAACACTGGTGTCAAATGAAGCGCCAGAACACAGCTCTTTCTGGATGATTTACGGAGTGCACAACGAAGGACTGTGAAATGATGTTTTCCAATCAGTCTGTTCCTCAGAACCTGTTTTGTGAAGAAAATGAATTGCAAATATTCTCTAAAAGTGACTGGATATTGGATCACATTAATCTTTCCAAATCCAGTTGCTATTTTTTCAGCTAGAGGCCTGATAAACTAGCTCTCAGAAGACCCCGCTCAGGGATTTAGCTGCATAGATGTCAGCCAGTCACTTAACACGATTCGGCACAGTTAGTGGAAAACACTGAACTCGCAAAATTCTGCTCGCGCTGTAACAGCAAGCACAAGAGTGCTGAACTCCAGCTTGAGGCAGCTTTCTGGTAAACTCTACTGTTTTAAATAAGGGCATCAGCAAGGGTGTAACTTGTTGAAAACCGCACCGATTTTCATCCTAAGCATATCTAGAGTTGGTATCACTGGAAACCAAGAGCTGTAAAAGCGCTGGGGCACCGACGCTCCTGAAACTTGGTGTCTCCGCTCCCCCTAGTGGAAAAAGCAATTTTCTGCAAAACAGTTTATGTGAGAAAGTCTTGTTTCTGCTACAGGCCTCAAGGCCATGAGATAATGAAGATGAGACAGTAAACAAATCCCAACTCCCCCGTTCATGTTTAAGGACTGGAACTTCTTAGAAGTTGATGTGAAATACCACGACTTAGACTGTTGCAGGGCGGCTGCACAAGATACACCACACTCATGAAGTTGCAGCTGTGAAAGGAGGCCCAAGAGAGCCTCCACCTTCCCTGGATGGAGTTCTCCACATGTAAATGATGATACGTAAGGCAACTATTGAAGGAAATGGCAGCCCCAAGGAAAACAAAACACACACACGGAGAAAGTTCTAATATTCTCTCCACAATAACCAACTCCTAAGCCCCATTAGCAGCCCCATCATAAAGGGGAGTGAAGCACACTTCCAGGGCATGTGGAGTGTGACAGGGTGAAGTCATCACCCTCAACACACCCAGAGAGAAAGTCTTTCAGCTGTACGTTTCTGAAGTCTGACTGGCACCAGGGCACAATGTCACAAATACAAGAAGCATAAGCAAAGCCCTCAGACCCAAGCCTGCAGCCCTTGGTCTTGGACACTGCATAGATTAATCCAAACAACAAAAACCTCTTTTGAACTTCAGTATTACTCCAATCTCCTATTTTGAAAAGCTTAGTGAAGAGTCTGGTACTAATGCCAAAAAACACTTCTCACTATAGTTATCCCTAGTCTACAGGTAAGTGTATTAACAAAGGGACTCAGCTTTCTGTGTGCTTTGCATCAGCACAGCAATAGCAACAGTCTAGAACTCCATCACCATTCATCACTGTCTTCTTGATAGCAGTGAAAATTCAAGTCAATTTCCACCACACCTACACTAAATATATTTACGGTTATTCCATCCTTTCTAATCAAAACCAATCATACAAGGTATTTCTATACTTCTCCTGATTCATTGTGAAAAGTAAGTCCTGGAAGTATTCCAGCTATTGTCACAAAAAGTCAATAAACAGAAAGTACATTTTTGTTTCTCATTAGAGGAATCAACAGCTCCACTGTAATTAAGCATACAACTAGCTGCTCTGACAAAGTCTTTGTAGCTCCTGTAAAGAGGATCAGGAGTAATTCCTGCAGTCACCAACAGTATTTCACACTGCCGCAGAAAGATAACCTATAGAGCCAATAAAAGGAAAACAGTAGCAAAAGAGTATTTATTAAACAACACATTATTCAATTTCACAGTGTGGGATTAAGATACCTACTCACTCCTTGAAAATAGCAGAGCTCAGTACTCCTACAAGAGTGGGGCAGCAGGTCAGGTCTGCAGGTGAAGTTTATTAAGAACAGTAAAACACTGTTTCCAGAGCCAGAAGGAAGTTGAGGGTGGGGAAAAGAAACAAAAGCAAGGACAGTCAACCAAAAACCCTTGGAGTGTTTTGTGCAACATTTTTCAGCCGAAAAAAGCTATTAAAGCTAAAAACTGGGCATGAAGTTTTGGGCTCATACATTCAAATATTAAAAAAAACTATGGCATGTACAACTTGATCTATATGTGTGTCATTAAAAATAACATGGTAACAGATTTTTCTCCAAAAGTGCAGTTTTCTCCTGGCTGAGGTGTCTATGTATTTAACTGGAAGTCCCACGATGATTGCAGCTCCATCATCTTTGTTTATTGTCTAGGGAAGTAGCCTGCTTTCAATCTTTGGCATGAATACCAAGTCTGCTGATATAGCTCTCCCAAGCTGCCTTCCTGTACCTCTCTGCTTCTTGAAGACAGTCTGAAGCTGACAAGATGCCACGTCCCACAATAATGATATCTGAACCTTTTTCACTAATAACTTTGTTGGGGCTTAGGTACTTCTGTCCAAGGTTATCACCTGAAATAGAGACACCACTTTTTTTAGTTCATACAAAACTATCTACTTAAAACTGTCAAAGAGGTGCTGGTACAGAGAACAGGTATGGTGTTCCAGCTCTCACCCTAACAATCTACAGACATAACACAAAACTAACAAATCCCCTATTACAGAGATCAAATTTGACAGAGCACTCCCTTCTTCACAACTTACCAAATCACAATAGATGGAACAGTTACGGAAAGCAGCACCAATCAGGATTACTGCAATTAAGGCTTAGTCTTCTTAAAACAGGCAAAACTCCCAAACATTCGTGTAAGCACTTGTGATTTCACTTCAGGTTTCATAAGAATTAAGCATTGCAGAGAAATATATCTCCCCTACCTGATTCAGTCAGTGTAAGACTTCCAATTCATTGATACTGCATCTGTATCAGTATCAACAAGTGTTATGACTTCTGTCTTTGTTAAAAATCTTTTCTCTATCCTACTGAGTAGTTGTACATCTAACTGAACACTGAGGACACTTCACTTTTTAAGGACTGTGCTTTATAGTGTTTATATATGCCTGCTGATTGCCTTTCAGAGCTCCCAGGGAAGGGATCAGTGTACCCAGACATACAGAAGGCAGCCCATATTGGCAAACAGACTCCTCCCACCAGAGAATCAGCAAACCCTCTTCAGAAGTCACTTTTGCACTGAAGGCTAGATCACTTTTTACAGACTGATTATAAATATTTCAGAAAAAGTTACCTCCAGTTTGCAGCTGCACCCCTGGAGTTAAGTGAAGAAATTCCGGTTTATTACTAACTCTAGATCCAGATATGAATCCAAAAACAAAATCCGGGTTGTCTTCAGCCATCTGTACCTGAAGATGAGTAAACAGGTAAAAGTGATATATCTAAAACTGGGCTTGACTAACAATCTGCTTCTCATCCATCCTTTGACACATTAAGCTGTTCAAGGCAGGGGTATGAAACACCTGTTCTTGCTTTATCAATATAAAGTCACCAAGAGCTGACTCACCCCTCACTGATGTTGCTGCACTTGCAGTCAGGAATATGAATGTTATGTTTCTTCCTATGTTATAAATAATACAATGAATGAATTTAAACTACTTAGAAATTTATTGCTTAAGAGAAGAAAAAAAAAGGGGGGGGGCTAATAGCAAATGTGGTATGTTTACTAGAATTCACAGTGAACTCTGACCACCTCACATGACTAGCCTACAGCTGCAACCTTTAAATACCACCCTGTCAAGATTCCCAAGTCTCCACAGAAAAAAAACCTGTAATAGTTAAGAGCTGGAGAGACTTTTGGAAGTGCAAATACTAGAAGCACACAAAATCTCTCGGTCACAGCACTTTACAAGCTTTATCCTGAAACAAGACTGCCTACTTACCGCAGCTTTTGTGTATTCACCTGTTGCAAGTGACCCTTGGGAACTCATCTCAGCAATCAGAAGACAGCCACGCTGGAGAGGAAGACCTACTTCCTTCAGACCTTTCACAACTCCAGAGCCTGGAACCACGTGGGCATTAACAATGTCTGACCAGGATGCGATTCTGAACACACCACCTAAGAACATGGATAGGAAGACATAGGCAAAGTGTCATTAGAAATGTATTAAGCAGGAAACACAAGTCAAACAAAACAAGCTGCATGCTAAATCATTCGCATTTTAAAAGACAGTTTTACTACTGAAGCTTTACAGTTACAAGTTCAGTCTCAGACAGTCCTGATAGTTGTCTAACTACAAAGTGTAATCTCTGTTTTACTTTTCATAAACACTTCTTAGTATCTTGCCTTTAATATTAATTGAGGCATTTATGGTAACCTAAAAATCCACTGTCACAGGTGCTACCTTTCAGTACAGCATACACATCATATGGACGTAAGGATCAGAAAAAAAGGTTTCTACAGTTCAGATGCAATATCAAATGAAAGCTGTAGAACGAGCACATGAGCATACAACAGCAGGCTGCCTTAAGAAGCCACGATGCATTTTCTCATGGCAAACACCTATTCAAAAGTACTTACTGAGCACAACCACAGATTCATAAAAAGGTTTAGGTTGGAGGAGGCCTCTGGAGGTCACGCCCTCTCAGCAGGGTTAACTTCAAAGATAGATCAGGTTGCTCAGGGGCTTGTCCCCTTGAGTCTTCTCCAAGGCTGGAGATTCCACAATCTCTCCTGGCAACTGTGCCAGCACTGCAATCACACACACCAACAGCAACACCAGTTGATGATAATCACCTTCGTATTGATGTTTCACTGTGTTTCCAATGTCTGCAAATTTCCTGTCTTCAAAAATCAAGAATTCATGTTGATCTGCAAGTGTTCTCAACTCTTTTACTACCTCTTGGGTGAAATCATTCAGGATGTCTATATGAGTCTTCAGGACACAAATGCTGGGGCCCAGGATGGCAGCTAACTGCAGCAGCTCTTTGGAGCTGGTGACATCAGCAGAAAGGCACAAGTTCGTTTGCTTCTTTTCCATGAGCACAAGAAGCCTGGCTGCAATAGGATGTACCCCTGGCAGCTTGGCACGAGCGCTGAAGCTCAGCTCTTTACAGAGTCTCTTCATGGGTGCGGGGCCGTTCTGGGCCACTGGCTCAAACATATTTCCCTGAATGAATTTCTTCACCTTTTCAACCATCTCAGCTGCCACTTCTCCCTGCTGCTGGAGAACCTCCAACACCCCGGGCAAGGTGCACACAGAGTGCAGGCGAATTCCACGTTCCTCTAACCTGGCCTTCCCACCCTGCTCCCTGTCCAACAGCACTACAGCATCCGTGACTTTTAATCCTTCTTTCTGAAGAACTTCTGCAGTTTCCAGTACACTAGATCCACTTGTTACCACATCTTCAATGATCAAGCATGTTTCTCCTGGATTAATGGTGCCTTCTACCAGCCGCTTAGTACCTTAAAAATAAAAGGCAAACACTCTACTAAATGAAGAAAGTTTAAAAGACCCCAAAAAAACTTAGAAGTACCAAAACTTTAACTTGCTAGGCTAACATAAAGATCATATTTGTTCCACATACAAGCATACATTGCAGCATAACCTGAAGTCCAACGGAATTCGAGAATAGGAATTTCACATTCACTGTCAGTATGAAGAGGTAATTAGTTATTACCTGACACCACAGTTCTTACCACAGCTCAGTCACTGACTCATAATTCAATTGATAAGGACTGTTACTTCTCCAAGTTAAGAAAATACTTTTTTATGTTTCCAGAAGTTACGTTCTATTAACAAAACTGACATATAGTTAACTGCACAAATTTAAATCTTTGGATAAGATGACTACAGAAGTTTATTATTGCCATGAACTGAATGCTCAGAATTACAAAACTATATTCTCCAGTTATTTAAAACATCTTTAAATAAGCCAAGTTACTAGTACTCTTCAGCATATTTCCTATTTTCCACAGGCAGTATTCTGTGCTTAATATGCCTGTTAGAACAATTAGGAGTAAAGCCCCAAATGCCTTTGCCCTAACCAACAACAGGCACAAGTCCATGAAAGGCCCCCTGAGGGGCAATAACAAAGGATGCCTAGTTTTCCCAGGAAGCAGCAAGCAGCAGAACATTATGCAGCGAGTACGGTGCTCAGACCATGATAGCCTAGAGTACAGCTTTACAATCCACGTGACACCAGAAAACTTGTGCCAGGCAGTTAACTGCTATCACAATTGACTTGTCCTTCACAAGCAGGAAGAGGTTCTGTTTGGGGGTGAAATGTGGCACTGGTCTCAGCTTATGAGAGAAACTGAGTTATAAATCTTGGTTTCCGGAAGAGGCCAGTAACCCAGAACCATAGTAATGGTGCCAAGGAAAAAAAAACACTGCTGAAAAAAACAAAAAAAGCCCACAAGCAAAAATAAAGAACATCACCCCCTCCCAAGAATCTCCAATCCTACTACAGCAGGATTCAAGCTGCAGCCTAATCAGCAACCAGCTGGGAGAGCCTGATCAGGTCAGGATGCTGTGGGAGGTATGTTTTAGGGGGAAAAGGGGCTGCTTTTTGAACTGGAGTGGTAAACTTAAACTGCACATTACAAAGAACTACAAATATATAAATCCATTTTCCAAACAAGACAACAAGTAGACACAAATTCTTGATTTGAAGGTTTTACCATAGTCTTTTGCTTCCTTCCTCCGTATCAGCATTGGAATCTGATTTTCTGAGCAGATAATCGTGGCCAGCGGCAGTGCTGTGTAAGGAACGCCACACACACAGTCATACTCCAGACCAGCATCTTTGGCTCTTTGAAAGAGAAGATCTGCGACCTGAAAAGGAAGACCAAGCATTTTTTAAGAGTCAGACTGGTATGAACGTGACTAAACAAATGCATTGCCCAGGAAAGGAATGCAAGTGCATGAAAAACTCTGTCCTTTACACGATTTGACCGCCGCTGT